CATAACAGTATGCAATCACCATTTCACTTCAAGTTACAACATACTGGTGGTAAAAATATTCTCTGGCAGGGTACAGAAGTGCATGCACTGAGCTAGCTTGTGCAGCACGGTCTATTCCAGAAAGCTGAACCTATGTTTGGTACAGAATTTTGTAACCACACGATGCTTGTACAGATTAAATGTGGCCACACATAGCAACTTCTGAGCTTTTTTATGAAATGATCTCGCAGTATCTGAAAACATTTGTTTTTTTTGTTTACTTCATAGTTCCCAGTGAAATATTTCTCTTGTTCTTCTCATTGAATAATGGCATTTGGTGTGACTAAGGTGTTCCTAATGCCTCACTATGAGATCAGAAAAAGGATTCTCCTTGAAATTGCTTCACAAGCATTTCCTAAAATATTGAATGACACTGCTTGCACATGTACAAACATTTGCTAGTTTTATTGAGGGTTGATGATAAAGGGAATCAGTTGGTGCATCCAAGCCGAACAGAGCTTGACTGGCCCTGAAAAGGGCCGTTTAGTTATATATCTTACAGCTTGTTCCATGTAGACAGGGCTTCATTCTGTAGAAATGGTAACTCATCACACTGGTTCCCCAGCATGAAGAACATAACTTGATTCTAACACTGACTCAGATGTTCTGAAATGTCATAGAGGGTACATGAAGGCTGGGTACATGAAGGTTGCCGTTATACTAACTGTACAGTCAGCATGCTTGTGTGATATGTGCATAGCTGCATCAAACCCACGTGTGAGAATTGCGTGAACAGCTGAAAATCTCCATGGCAGCTAGCTTAAGAAGTCTGTCATCCCTTTTTTTGCCAGTTTCCAATATCATCCTTCCCTTTTCATGCATCTTCTTTCAATATATCTGGGGTTTTAACTCCCAAAACCATGATATATTAATGAGAAGCAAATTTTGAACATCTGGTGTTCTTTACCATCTTCACTTGTTTACAGCGCAACACCAGGACAGGGAAGGAGCAAAAGAGAAAGAAAAGACGGCGCCGACTCTGAAAAAGATGGCACTGACATCATGACATGCACATGTCGTGATGTAAGCTGCCCAAAGAGTGGCCTCCCGTGAGAATAGTGAAGAATCGGGAGTAGGATCTACCAGTAAGGGCTTTGTGTGCAATTCAAAAACAGTCAAAAAGATCCACCAGGGGTGAGCCACAGGTACATGGTGCACTCTGGTTGAGAGAGAGCAGAGCAAAACAGATGTGCCAGACAGGAGATTATAAATGGTTTTGTCTGGAGCTGGTGCCAGACCGAGCTCTGATTAAGCGTAAGGGAGTATTGAGCGCCAGGCCAATCTGATCCCATTCCTGTGATGGGGTGCAATGTGATGACAGGTGCGAATCCCATTTTCTTTTTTAGGGGCGAAGCTCCTTAGGGCGTGGACTGTGCGTCCCCTGTAGCCTGTATGTAGCTACCTCTAGTTTAGTTCTTGCAGTGTTCACTAGATGGCGGTACCGTCCCCTGTATGTAGCCACCTCTAGTTTAGTTCTTGCAGTGTTCACTAGATGGCGTTACCGTCTCCTGTATGTAGCCATCTCTCGTTTAGTTCTCGTAGTGTTTACTAGATGGTGGTACTTGTAGCTGATGATGAAAAGATGCACGATGTTATAAACTAGAAAGCGGTACTTGTAGTTAATGAAAGACGCGAGATGTTATAAAATAGGAATGATGTCACATATGGCGCGTGTCATTGGTTGAAGTCAATCGTTCGATTTAGTGCGGTGACGTACGCTAGGGGGAGCGTTGTAATAAAATTCGTTCGCTGTTGGCGCGCGCTCGGAGTCGCCGGATGGATAAGGCTGCACAGCGGAGAGAGCGCAAGGCGGCAGCAGCGCGCGCTCGCAGACAGAATCCCGATGTGCGAGCGCGCGAGGCAAGGGACATCGCAAGCCATCCATCGTCTAAGAACAAATAAAAGTTGATTTGTGTATATACACACACAGCGTTTCTCACGTCTTTACATGATGATCGACTGGGCGAATTACACGAAAGATTCACAGTTTACCGATGAATCCCTCCGGAGCTTCACCCATTCATCATCATTCACCCCGTGAATATGCCGTAATTTTTTTTCCATGGGTTTAGGGAAATAATTTTTCAGGGATCAGATGGAAATACCTCCGACATACATACTAACATGCTTATTCTTGGGCGTAGTCATGCCTCGCCACCAGATGGGGAGAAAAAGGAATGTTTCCCAAAATGTGCGATAAAGTTTTTGGTGTTACGCCTTGACGGAAGTATTGATAGGTGCTTTGGAAATTGGTACGCCATTTCTGTAATCGTAAAATATGCAACTGCATGTGCCACTGCTAGGAATAGCGTGACACTCCCAGCCATTTCGGGGTAAGTCATTTTAATCTACATGAAGATGTTAATGAGCCCGTTCTCCATCACAGCAGTAGCTGTGGCTATTCCTTCAACTAGGCCGACTGCAGCTCCAACTAAACGTCTGCATGAATTTAGCGCTAGTACCATACATAATAATGAACACGTGCCTTGCGTTCACTTCGATGGTGTTGTGAATTCATCTTGCGTGACAAAGGTTTAAGTTGCACGCGTGCCTTAACCTTTACTGCAATAGGAGACCATGATTTATCGCCACGCATGGTGTTGCTTAGCTCGGTCCTCAGTGTTCGAAGCAGGTTCCGCCTTGTAAGTGCCTGAGAGAGGCACAAGAGTTGATTTCTGCTCTGTGTTTTCATAATTCCCTAGCCTGTATTATACCTGTGTCACACGGGCGCGCAAAAAGTCTTTTAAGTAAGCGGTCTTTTACGAAGTTGAAAGACTTTTAACAAAGAGGTGTTTGCGGCGCAGACACACGGCAGCAACGATCTCCTTTTAGTGTTTTCGTTCGAAGACGCTAGCGAAAGCGTGGCGCTAGCAGTTAAAAGAAAAGCAATAAAAATTAAACGATGTATCACAATGTACAAATTAAAAACTTGTTGCACTGCTTGTTTCTTCAAATAAATTTAAGAATAAGAGATCAAGAAACACCAATGTGAATGTTTTTTGCACTATATAAGAAAGCATTCCCATAACTAGCGACGTGCGCAAGTCCGTCTGGCACCCCTGGGCTTTTATTTACCGTATTTGTTTTTCGCTGCTCTCGACACGTTATGGGCGACCATACGGGAGAAAAAGCGAGGATTGCAAGCCTCGTGGCCTGCCTTCTCGCTCTGGAAAGCGAGGCAGACGCTGCAAAAGCCGCCAAGGAGAGGATAAAGCAGCAAATGCTGTTCAGCAATTCCTTGCTGTGCGCACTGGAGCTGTCGGAGAAAGCCTGCGATCGATCGATCTGGGCCTTCAGACGAAACGAGAGGTGGTTCAAGGGAACTGTACCTCACCTCGGTGAGCAGAACTTCAAACAATCTTTTCGAGTGTACCCGTCCACATTTCGTTTCATTGTGGAGAGCTTGCGCAGTGAGCTCGAAAGACAGTGCACCAACATGCGTGAAGCCATCACTCCTGAGAAGCGAGTCGGCATTGCCCTATACAAGCTGTGCTCGTCAGCCGAAGATAGGACTGTGGCCAACCTCTTCGGCGTTGGACGCTCGACAGTAAATACCTTATACAGGCAGTTTTGCGAGGCTGTTGTCGCTGTACTGGAACACGAGTGGATCAAAATGGTGACCCCAGAGGAAATGGCGAGGCACATTCAGGAATTCGAGGCCGTCACCGGTTTCCGCCAAGGCGTCGGAGCCTTGGATGGATGCCACTTTCCGATCTCGCCACCTAAGGAGCATGCCACAGACTACTACAACTACAAAGGCTGGTAAGTGGCCTAATACAACTTCTTAATGTAAAAAAAAAGCATGATTTATACCGTATTTTAATGTGCCTAGAAAACAGCACTATTCAACCTTTTCGTTACGCTATATAGTTCACTCCTAGCTCTGCCACAAGGTCAAGTCCACATCGCAATAAATAAAAAAAAGCGATGCCAAGTGCTTTAGTCAGTGCACAATTTGGTTCCTATCATCTCGCATCATTTACAGGCCTTAGAGCAAGCCAAGCAACGCAATTTTCACGTAAGCATTTTAATGCAACAGCATGAAGATGCCAGATTGCATTTGCAATGATAATTCCGACATGCTCATAACGGCCGCAGAAAGCAGCAGCTCATCTGCAGAAAACTTAATGTCTATTACCTACTATGTTGAAGACATACGACAGGGCTGCAAGAAAAAAAAACATCCCTGGCTCCATTAATGACCACAGAAAACAGCGGATTCTTAGCTGTACACAAATATACATGCTTTTGTGTTAGTACTTTAAGGTAGCTGCACCACTGTAACAACTACAAAAACACACGCACACACATTTGGTGTTTATTGCACTTCGCTGCATTCACCTTACGTGCCACGCTCTTTGTTTTTTGCAGGTATAGTATCATCTTGCTGGCACTTGTGGATCACAGATACCGCTTCAGGTATATCAAAGTTGGAGCACCTGGACGCTGCCATGACTCGCACGTGTTTGGGTTTTCGCAAATCTCCAATGCTATTAAGGGTCCCCTTTTTAAAGCTCCACTTGCCACCATAGCCGGGACAGTAGTACCACCACTAATTCTGTGTGACCAAGCATTTTCATTGGCACCCAGCCTGATGAAGCCGTTTGGACACCGCGGGAAGATTAGTGAAAGTGAAAAAAAGTTCAACTATCATTTGAGTTCAGCTAGGAGAATTGTTGAAAATGCATTTGGAAGGCTTAAGGCCAGGTTCCGCTTCACTGCGAAAAGGATGGAGTGCCATGTAGGCAATGCTCGCTTAGTAATACGGGCATGCTGCGTGCTAAGCAACATTTGTGAGCACTTCAATGACAATGTCCACCCGCAGTGGTTAAATGAGGTGCAGCAGTCAGACGTTGACTTCCCGCAGCCGTCATGCACAACAGAAGCCCAAGTTGGAAACGCAGCAGACATAAGGGCCGCGCTTGTGGACTACTACAGCCAAGTGAACTAAAACGCAACAATCACAAGAATCGCCGGAATGAGTACAGGAAATCGCACCACTTTTTATTAAAAAAATCAACCATTGCATCCACAAGTTTCTCCTGCAGCTTTAATGCTTTTGTTCGGATCTCCATCTCCTCTTTATGGGCGGCTTCAAATTGCTCCCTCAAGAGCCGCTGCTCATTCAGCATCTTCTCCTTCATTTCGGCACCTGTGTATTTTCTTCGTTTTCTGCGGGCGCGATCTCCACTGTCGCTTGGGCTGTTTCTGCGCCCGGTGACACAGTCTTGGATGTTGCTTGGCTGCTGAGGTGCTGCTGAAGCCTGTGCGAATTCGGGTGCATCTACTTCCGTATCGTCACTTGACGATCCGGTCACCATGCCAGAGATGAGCTGCATTTCAAAAAAATGACAGAAATGCGGTGATTGCACATTTTCACATGTGAAATAGCCATTAACAACTGTGTGCTATACGTCTGAGTGATGGAAATGTCACATAGAGAAGGAAATGTCAACAAGAGTGCTTTTTGTGTTACAATGCTGACTCCCACACGAATTGCTTAACCATTACGTTTACCCTAAGGACTGGTGTAATGGTTCCAAAAGCTCTGTGATGCCGAAATGGCAATGTGAGCGCAGATGTATTTCAGCCACTGCAGTATTTGTCCCATAATGTACTCTTATGACTGTCCCTGTTATATTTGTTCTGGTTTGTGCCACCATGTCATGTTAAATCGTACTTTATTGTGGTGATGTGACTGATTAAACGCAAAAGAAAATGCTTTCTGAAAATATATTTCTTTGTTGGTTTATTTAAAACACTACAGCAACAATATCTCGGAGAACATGGCTAAAGGCAAACATGAAGCACCAACGTGGTGCACACTGTGCTACACTGGTACAAAGAGTGGGTTACAGCTTCAAAAAACAAAAAGCCACTGCCATTGCACTTAACGCTGCTACTTGCTTGCAATAAAGAATGTAGCTGCCACTAGAAGTTACTTACTTCCTCAACTGAGGGACTGCTGCTTGCTGGGCTCGAGCTGATCCCAGCCTCCTCCATTAAAGAGGGGTCGTTTACAGGCAGGCTTCCAAGAAATCTGTGGATCTCTACAAAAAAGGTCCAGCTTGGTGGGGACGAGCCCGTTGTGTTTTCTTTAAGGCATTTCCTGAAGAATACGAAAATAAATGATTAAACAGATGTTACAAGACTGACAACTGCGCGCTGAGAAAACCACTGGTACATGCAAACTATACAATCGCGCGGCGAAAAGTAGAAAGAAGCGAATTGTTAAACCTACGCCACATCAAGTGCGCGTTTCCTTCTTGTTACATGACAGGTTTGCACGCTTAACAAGCAACAAAGACGCGTTTCTTGACGTTTGTACTTAAACATGTGTAACTGCAACATCGCGTCATTGTAAAGCAATTCCACTGCAAATCGCCGAAAAGAAACTTTGTGTGCGGCTACAACGCGCGATAAGCATGCTTCCACACGTGGCCATTCACTTGGTGTTCAACGTTTTGCCTACGGTGGGGCGTCGTTTCGAAAAGATTGTTCGGACGTTTCCCACGCCAAATGCGCTTCACCTGCTCGCGAAAAAATTCTGCTGCTCAAATCGCCAGTAAACTTACTGGAAGCATTCGATAACATACCTGCAATACAATTTTTAAAAAATCATTTTTTCCCATGATCGCTGTTGTCGTCCCACTTCCCTCCTCACGCTTACAGGCCGCTAAGACGCGTCAAGCTTACTCAAATAATTTGCCTCACCTGTAGGTGTGTGTCAGATTTTCTATTTTTGTGTGCACTTGGTCCTTCGTGCGGGAGACACCCGCACTTGTGAGTGCAGCCGCGATGCTGGTGTACACCTCGCCGTTGTGCTTCTGCGCTCGCAACGAGTGCAGGTTGTCCTCCCAGAGTCTGATTAGGCTCCACGTGTCTGCTTCTGACCATTGCAGACGCTGCCTTTTCCGTGGGGCGCCGGCTGCTTGATCTCCGGAGTTGGCCATAGACGCCCCGACTCGGACCACTTAAATGACGGGCAAACACACAACTGCCACGCTTTCCTCGCTTGTGCAAAATGGCGCGGCGCGAGACCGAGCGTCACCACGTGATATTTCCGACGCGTTGTAGCTGCTTACGAGAGTAGAAAAGAAAATAACCATTAAAAGAGTTCATTACACCTTCTGCAGGATATGAAATTTGTTTTCACAAAAAGTTTTGGTGACAGAAAAATAAGCATTTGCTTTTTTTTTCCACCTCTCGAAAATTGCTGGCGCCCACTGGTTTCGAGGCTACTCATTCGGAGCCGTAAAAGAGATCGACGAACGCCGTTTACGAAAAAGACCGCTTCTTCAAAGGCGTTCGCTCTGTGCCGTGTGTCTGCTGTCAGGAACTCCTTTTCGGAAAAAGACCGCTTACTTAAAAGACTTTTAAGTGCCCGTGTGACAGGGGTATTATACAGGAAGCGGATAGTGCTGGTGTGCGTCAGCTGCCTCGGTGCGCTCTCAACCGCCTGTCTAGTAAGACTGATAGCTCATTCTATCAGCGCCTTGTCGTACTCCCTCCTCACACTGCGACATGTCCTCCACTTGGAGGACATGATGACGGAACTAGATGATACGAAGCCCAAAACAGCAATGTTTGCAAGCAACAACCCGAGCAAACAATTCAACGGTGAGGCCAGAAAATCTACCTGACTAGGCCTGGAGCAACAAGCTAGAGGCCAGAGAGCATATTCTTGGCTGGATGAATGGATGGATGTGGCTGTACCCTTTAGATCGGGCGGCGGCTAACGCCACCTAGCCGTAATGCTTAGTGAACTAACCACTAGATTTATTTTTTCCCCTTTAAATAGTAAAGTTGGACGGGTACTTTGAAGTGAAGGGTTTAATTTTCAATCGTGCCTTGACTTTAGCCACCAATCAGATAACCTCCTTCTAGTTAAGTCTACCCGCTTAAAGTCTATTTTGCCCTCCCTGTCCCTAAACACCAGTGCTTTGAAAAACTCTGCGCCATCATCTTGAACTATAAGGTGAAGCCCTTTACAGAACATTTTCAAGTGTTCGGCAGTTTCTTCTTCCTCTCCACACGCACTGCATACTGTGTCTACCCCTTCGTATTTGGCCCGATATGTCTTGGTTCGCAATACTCCCGTCCTGGCCTCAAACAGTAGAGAACTACCCTGAGTATTATCATAGATCCTTTCTTTGGCAATTTCCTGCTTAAAAGTTCGATAGATCTTTAGTGTGGACTTCTTAATCATGACAATTCTCCACATGTCAGTCTCCGTTCCCTGCAGTTCCTTTTTAACCAATAGTTCTTTCTGGTTTGGCCACCTGCTGTTTTCTAAGTATTTACCAGTCAATTTCCTTGTTCGCTTCCTCCATTTTGTATCGACATTCTTCATGTACAAGTAGCTGAAAACCTTCATAGCCCAACGCTCCTCCCCCATTTCTGTCAATCGCTTCTCAAATTTTATCTTGCTGCTAGCTTCCCTGCCATAAAATGATGTTCATCCCATATCACCTTGTACTTCCTGGTTTGGTGTATTCCCGTGAGCTCCTAAAGCAAGCCTACATATTCCACGTTGCCTAATCTCTAATCTTGCTTGAACTTCTGACCTCATGCACAAGACCGCGTTGCCGAACGTCTGCTCAGGAACCATGACCCCTTTTTATATTCCTCTCACAACATTATACCTATTGTAATTCCACAGTACCCTATTTTTCATCACTTCTACATTCCTGTTACCTTTAGTCGTCACGTATATTTCGTGTTCCCTCAGGTACTCGGTCCCATTGCTTATCCATACGCCCAGTTATTTGTATTTATCTGTTATCTCTAGCGTGACTTACTGTATTCTAAGCTCACTACCTTTGTTATTATTAAAAATCATGACTACTGATTTTTCCTAACTGAATCTAAAATCTAACCTATCTCCCTCATTACCGCAAATGTCCATCAACCTCTGCAAATCTTCCTTGTTGTCGGCCATTAGCTCTATATCATCTGCGTAGATTAATGCTGGTAGTGCCTGATGAATGAGTTTTCCTTGTTTGACTAAAGAGACGTTGAATGCAAGTCCACTTGCCTCTAATTTGGCCTCTGATCCTTGTAGGTTCATCATGAATAAGAAGGGTGACAGTGGGCACGCCTGCCTAAGTCCACGTTTCACCACTGTGGGCTTGAATACCTGTTTTTCCCACTTTATAACTACCTTGTTAGTTTTATAGATTTCCTTTAAACGATTAGTGACTCCATCTTTTACACCCAGTGTGTCTAGTATTCCCCACAAGTCCTCTTGAACCACGCTATCGTACGCTCCCTTGAATTTCTGTAGGCCGGTAGGAAGCTTCACGGCGCAGAGCCTGATCTTGTGAAACGGCGCAGCCATGCAGGCAGGGCATTCATTCCCTTCCTATTTTTTGTATACTACTGTCCTTGTGTACATCGTAGAACACATAACAGTAATGATAGCAAACAGATCATTGATTCGGGTAGGCTTGGTGTTTTTATTCAAAATGGAACAACGAGGAAGCTGCTGAAGCTCGTGCCTGTATACAGCTGCTTTATATGGAGATGAAACTTTAACGAAAAAAAATGTATTGATAAACAGTAGGCTCATAACAAACAAAATTTCTTAGAGGGTGCATGGAATATATGTCCCATGCAAGGCTATGCATTGCAGTCCTTACTGCATTAATTATGTACACGTATTTCAGGGCATGCAAGTGTATGCAGACATACGCTGACGAAATGACATTTTTTGCTACATACAAACGTGCACCGCACCAAATAAGACGCACGTGTTTGTATAGTAAGGGAGCACTCGTGAATATTGATGAAATCACACAGCTGGCTTACAGGATGAAACAAACACAATTGCGAACAATAAAATGCGACGCTGTTTAAAGAGGCGGACGCAGGTTACGAGGAGAATTATCAGTATGCAATACACACCACGTGTCAAGCTTTTGCAACATCTAAAGAGAATAAATATGGAAAGTTGCCTTTGTAAGTTATCATGACAGTACCAAATTGTGAAGCCACACGAGAGAACAATTCATCGTGGGCTAAAGAATGTGTTTTAAATATTATACACAGCTTTGCAAGATAATATCGACGTGTTTTACTCGTCTAGGTGTGGGAGGTGTAGGCCTGATATAATGCGATGTTGCTTCAGAGCCTTCCTTTCGTAATATTGCAATTTTATTCAACTCTCTCAAACGCGGCACCGTAAATTTCTACTGGGTGCTCGAACATGGCAAGCAGGTCGCGGGGCAAAATCTTTGTAACATTTTATTACCGAAACAGCGATACTAGCAATGCTTGAGCTGCACTTGCTGTTTTCGAAATTGTAACCTCCTCAATCTTATCACTGTGATCAGGAAACAGAGAGGAAGAGTACAGCAGTAGTACGCAGAGAAATATTCAATTTCAAGCCCTTTAGCAATATCATCTAGACAAATTGCCAGTTCACTGTTGAATTCCCCATGGAAACAAACAGCTGATTAGGGACGCAAGCTTGGCTTGGCACTGGCTTGGCCGTTCATACAGAGCCAAAAGCCGCTGCAGAAAACTGGATTGCGGATCGTATTGAGACAAAATATTTTATACATTTTTGTTTTCTTTGTTTCATTTCTCTAATTGCTTTTGTGATGGCGTAGACCGCGCTTCGTGATCTGATGTACCGGCGCACTGTTTTTAAGTTTACTATGGCGCACGATAATACATGATTGCGTGCTTTGATTTAAAAAGGTTCGCGAGTATGGCAGCAACACTGCAATGTCGGGAAGAGGATAGTAGTAGAACCAGTAGCAGCTGCATGCCCGGGTGGAGCGACTGATGCCCAGATGGAGGAATGTCAACCCGATGCCTTTTGTGTTGGCCGTTCTGGCAGTTCCGCCGACTTTATAGAAAGAGACGACCCCGTCGCTTGTCCTCATCTCTTTTCCTTCGGGCATCAGCGACAACATTGACGGACGACGTGTTCGACTTCACCGTGCACGTGAGTATAGGTAGGTTTTTCATTCGAGTGAATTCTTGTTCAGATTCGCAACTTGTCGACTTCATCCTGATCACTTGTCACCGGCAATAAGTCATATACGTGTGATATTTAGGTGAAATAAATGATAATGCACATTTTCTGCTCCATTTGCGTGACTTAGCTACACCAGGACATGAGGTAAAGCCTTTGTCGCCTAGCCACTAGCAGGGAAGATTGATCACTCACATCCTTCAGTTCACGAATCAACGCGCCTGCCTTAAAATTAGTAAGCTGCTCACAAAGAAATCTTACCGAGGCAATTTTTTTTCTGTGAACAATGCACCGTAGATAACAAAAAAACTTAAAAAATAAATGTCGCGACCTTTTAGAGAACTCCGTGTCTAAGAGCTAGACGTGGCATTTTGTAAAAAGCTCATTAAATTCAGTATTTTTTCGTAGTTTCTGCTTGAAATTATTATTGTCTATGAATTTCATGGCCCAATCTTTCACTTTGGCTGAAAATCTCGGCGGCAAAAACTTTGTTCAGTGTCCCTGTAAGGGCAGGCGTAGATGCCATCATTTCAGTCGCAAATCTTTTTGCTAGTCGGTGAGCTGGTTAACAATAAGGGTACTAACTAGAGTTCCAGATTTCATCAGCAACACATCATCATGGCTTCATCAGATGCTGCATTATATACATTCTATCCTCGTTTTTAAATAGGTGTACCGTATGGTCCACTGTTACAGGAAACAAGTGAGCTCATGGACAGTGAGCCATGTTGTGCTAACTGGCAGCGAGGCTTGTGAAGGGGGCGCATGCGCATAGAATCGGGGTGCGCCCAGTTTTGTCTGCCATTTCTCCGCCTGTACGCATGACAGCATTGGAAAGCGCATCCGTATTTTAGCTGTGCAATTTATCTAGCCCAGTGCCTCCTGCTTCAGGTATTTCCTGTGAGCACAAAAAAATGCATGATTTTAATCGTTGCTGCAGTGTTTTGCAAGTTGTCACGGTAAAGCACA